CATAGAGCAGAGTCACTTGAACCATGAAATAGAAACTAAATACTTAGTTACTAATAGGCACTATTTAGACACTATCACTGAACCAGAACAGTACAAAGAGATTACTTTGATTGTTAAAGTGGTCCCTTGGGTATTGCTTATTGGATCAAATAAACTGTTCTGGTTCAGTGCTAACGACTATTAGGAACTAATAGTGCCTATTAGTTAGTACTTTTTAGTTCTTATTTCATGGTTCATGTGACTCTGCTCTAATACATAGGTGGTTCACGGGTTGAATTCTTAGTTTCTTAGTGCGCTTTCCATTTGTCAGAACTGGCTGGTCAGACCCAGAGAAAATGTCATATATCATTCCCATTTGGTTAGGAAATTCAAATTCTATCCATTATTCTACAGAAAACCTCGAAAGAACTGAAAAATGTTGACAAAAAGCATTATATACCTCTAAATAGAGTGGACTGGCCGGCCAGTTCTGCCTAAATGGAAAGCACCCTTAGACCATTCGCACGATGGCGTCATTTCATTAGTTACAACTACCAGAATGCTTGAGTCATTTTGAGTGCGAGAGTCATTTTTTATTAACACCGGCACCATCTAAGTTACAAAAGATATTCATTCAATATGAAATAGTGCCATAACTAAATTGCGCAATCCTTATAGAATAATGAATGCACATTTATTACATTTTTCTATCTAGTTATATTATTGTCTTGTCAACAATGTTTATCATAATGATTTAAAAAAAACGTTGCTTCAACCTAAACTTTTTATTTACTAGTCGAGCTTTCCGAGGCTCATGTTTATAATACTCTATATTGTGTAAAAAAATCCAGTTGCTGATAACATGATCACTCTGCGCTAAAAAATGTTTATCTGTCTATAAACAATAAAAATAATAATTGCTATAAACCCCCACCCCAACCCGGGACAGGGTGGGGACTATGTGGGGCTTGGGGTCACATTTGACCAGTAATGATGCCCAAGGGGGTGGGGATAAAGTGAATATTTTACGAGAGTTTTAATATAGTCGGGGCATAGTGGGGCATAAGGTCGGGATTGGTCAAATAATTAGAAAAGGCCTCGAAACTCTTAAAATGCAACTTGGGCTTCCTGTAGCCCTATGAATGTCATGGACCCCCCACAGATAAGTTGAACTGCATGGCTGGTCATGTAGAAATTGCTGTAGACAACACATGAGCTTGGTCCA